GAGACACAAAGAGGCGCTTCCTCGCTGTCGTCAGCTCTTCATAATAATTCAAGAATTAAAGCTTTTAGATTGATAAGATCATACTGGATTTCAAAAAAGACATAAGTCTCAATGAACGAGGTACTGGAGTCACACACAAAGCTATCTTTTGGAATTTATTCGTATGTTTGGGTGACACACAGAACCTTGTAAACGTTATTAGTCTGGATAATTAGATCCAATTAAAAATATAAGAAGATATTTCATTATTTTGGCATTTGGAACCTTTTGAAACAACGCTTTAACATCATCTGTCGCTTTCCATTACAATGATTGTCAAAATCCTCGGGTTGAAACATTGCAAGTTTGAGTCCAGCGTAGAGAATGGCTGTTTTTGTTGAGACTCCAAGCAGGGGAAGCAGAAAATAAGGTCGCATTATTGTAACCAATACTATCCTCTTTTTTTGCCACGCTAAATAGCTAGATGTGTACAACAAACAAAATTGATCCAGAAAACCAATAAAAACAACTAAATCGATAGATTCCGCCAATCAGTATACTGCCTGACATACACGGCATTCGAAGAAACTATACATGGTCACTTGGAAGATATTCGAACGCTGTACTCCGCCTCTTTTTAGAAGTACCCTCCATACGAGTGTAATTCGATTCACAACTAGGGACCTAATTTTAAATATATCTGAATGCATTAAACCATAAACTCTATTAAACGATAAGAACGGCAACTCGTGAATATCATTATGAATGAACTCTGAATGCAATGTGAGTTTGCTGTCTAAAAAAATAAGAGTACTAACTACCAACGTGTAGGTGCCATCATTAAAACTACGAAAGTAAGAAATTCATTTACAATAACAAAACAAAAAACTAAATATATTTTTCTTCAATTAATAATAGTATTCTACATTTTATTATGTGATTATATAAATCCCAATCATGTTCTTATATTATCTTAATGATTTCTGCTACGCAGTTGACTACTGCAACAAGAAAACGACGCATTAATAATTCATTGTGTTAATTCTATCAAACCAACAGGAAACATCCCCATTAGGAATTTCGACTTCGATCCCTTATGGACGTCAAGGCAACTACCGCGGCTCCACCGCCGCTGCCGCCGGATCCCTTTATTCACAACGAACACGTCGCGGGAGAAGGAGAACGGACAACTTTCCATTTTCAATAGCGGAACTCGGGGTCCGCTATCGAGCGCTGCGAGCGGGCCCCCGCCCCCTCCCAGTCGCCGAAAGCGAAAGCGGTCCGTCGCGTCCCCTCCCCCCACGGGGCACGCGTCTTCCTTCGCACGGCGCCTCGCACATGGCCACTTGGACCGCCTTCTCGGTGTGACACGCGCACTTCCTAGGCTTGCGCTCTCGCATAAAAAGACTTTTCGAGAAGTTTCGAACGCGTTTTGGAGGTTTCTTCCCCCTTATTTATTGTAAGGATCTGAGTATTCAATTGACAATTTTACATTGGTTTTGTGACTAAATCTTCAACTGAAGTCCGAGAATGATGCGTTTCCAAAACAAGAGTCACAAGTGAATGTTCTTGTATGTAAACTAATCACTAATTAAAGGTTTAGATAAGACAGAACGTAAACGCTTACCAACGTTGCAATGGACGTCCAAAATTTAAGAAACCATATAATAAACTTTAAAGTGATCTAAAATGGATGGACACAATATATACTCAAATATGTAGTTTCTAATCCTCAACCTTTTTTGGCGACGGTAAATTTATATCCAACGCATTTTTCGTGCACCCACCTAAAATGTAAATCACTTCGCCCTGAGGACCCTTCACGTATCACATTTGCCACGAATAAATTGGATTTGTTTCAGGTTTTAGGGTCCAAAAGTTCCGCGAAAACGTTCTGTTCGAGCTGCAAATTACGCGAGTAAGTGTCAAGAAAACAATTAATTTACAAACACGATTACGATTTTTTTAAACACAAAATAAAGTTAACGCACACTAACAGACCAAGTAAAACGCCATTCTTTGATATCTTCCTTCTCCTACCAATGGTTTGGATTGTGTTTTCATCTGCCACTTGTGGATTTAAATCACGGCGTTGTGAAGTTAACTGTTCAGATAACGAAATATGTTCTCCAGAGAATCTTACTATTATTATTCTAATGCTATACCATTCATTCATTTGCCAATCCAATAGCCAATCATAATTCCACCCCTTATTCAATGAGGATGTTTAAGTCCCCACAGTAAGATGCGCCAAAACAACCGTGTCAATAATTGGCTATAAACTCAACAGTTGCATTGTAAGAAATAAACGTTTAGTCTGTATTTCTTAATTGACCATATATTGGATTAAAATTTCAAAATAATTCTGAGCCTGGCATTCAGACGCATAAATGACCAGTTTTGTACATCTTAAAAGAACAGATTTGAAGAAATTGTTTAATGTTAGTTTCAAATTCAGTTCACACAACTTTGATCACTCAAGTGCGTATAATGAGTAACTACACGTATAGTTCACTTGCAGTTGGGAACACAGAAAGTGGAAAATTTGATTTTAAGCCCACACACATTGTCCTTCACACTACGAAGAGACAACAAACAAGTACTAACCTTTCAAGAAGCAACACGATTACGCTTCTTGACATTTTCACATGTTACATCTTTTTTCTACAGTTCAATTTAAAAAAAAGTATTCATGGTATCTCAAGCCCGAATATACGAATCTACATGCGAGAAACTTCAGCAAAAGGCAGACCGACATCCCACAGCGACAGTATTGAATGCGCGTACATTTCTCGCAGAGAGTGACTTCATGAATGACTACACAGGTATTAATTTTACAAAAAGAAAACATCAGAAATAAAATAAAAATTATATATTTATTTTCAAAATAACACATATAAATAATAAAAATAAATACATAAAACAAAAAAGTCAGCTACTTGTTTGTGAATTACACGCCACATTTGATTTGTGGGTGAATTTCGGAAGAAAAAGCATCTTCTCAATTTACCTTATTCTTTTAAATTGGATATTACAGTGCATGTACCTACACGGAATACATTTGAATAAAAAAGCAATAGATCACATCATAGTTAACTAAACTACAACTAATTATAAAATAATAACGAATGATTTAGATTACAGAGTCCACGATACACAAATTCTATTACTAGAAACTTGAGCAACGACACATTTCATAATTTACGCAAATAATAAAAAACGTGCAAATTAATTACTAAAGCTTAAAAAATAAAGCAACAACAGTTTCGCGGAGTTCAGAGGCCAATTTGAGCGCCAAGCGAAATGTGTTCCTGCGGTGCAATATCCGATGAAGATGTTGCACATATAAAAACATTGTTAAAGAATTGCTCGATTTTCCGAACCTATAGCACGAGTCGATTACTCACGCGCTGCGATCGATAGTATTAACACACCTGTCCCAAGGGGGGCAGACCGCAACCCTTTCTCGCACACATACGTGCATCAGTCTCGCATGACAATACCACTAGCTGGGTTCGCGACTTGTACTCCAGGTACCTCAACTGCCCAGGATTGCCCAGGTTCATCCGTTTCTAATATTCAAATTCAACCTTACGAAATCGATTAAGCAGTAAAAAATGGAATATTTGGATGGGAAGGCCCTTATTTATAACAATAAAAATGTAATATATCGAGCACAAATACTACTCCCGAACGAAACTTCATATGTAATAATGGATCACGTGATTTACAGATTTAACATAATTATGACGATTTTCGAAACTTTGTTATGGCACCGATATTAAAAACTCTACATTTTCGCCGAGATCAAGTAATAATCCTCTCATGCGATTGCCGAGAATTATTGTATTATAAAAACATTAACGTGCAGTATTTATATCAATTATCAGCAACGTCTTGGTTTCAGAACTTACACTTTTCAATAATTCGTAGCGACACCTATTATTTTTCGATGACAATGAACAGCGACAAAATATTATTCACCCCATGCATGGATACGGGGCGACGCGTCGGTCGTCCCGCGCTACTTGCAATCCTTCCGTGAGCCCACACCCTCGTGCACGCGTGCGCGGACTTACGCACTCACACATGCGCTTCGGGCATTTAGCGAACGTCGGCCCTAAGGACGACGCAACGTGCACTTCGACCGGGCATGCGCCATCGGACACAGCTGACCCCCTCCCTTTACCAGCACGCACACCGGCTGAATTTGAGTTTTGCGATCGTTTCCACCACGCCGGATCATTCGCAGAGTCTTAATCCCTTCCACGCGCGTCGCGAGGTTTGGCTCCAGACGTACAAGATGTGGTAAAATACCTGCCATCGTGATTTTCGGAAACATTGTACTTAAAACAAGTATTTGCAAAATTAAAAAAAAACTCAAACTTATCAAAATATCAATAATTACACACATGGATGAAACGCGATTAAAATATTAGTTCCAGATCAAAAGGGCAGAGCCGAACATAACAAGACGGACACTTTTAACCGACGAATGACATACGACAGACACTAGATTCTGCATAATTTTCAAACATCAAATTCGATTTGAACTTTTCTATGGCAAAAGGAAAGGGAAATTTTCATATCAAGAGAGATTATCAGTAAGAAGTTCCCTTTTACAAAGTGGAAAAAATCGTGTCAGTTCAAACGTCAAGCTAAATACACGAAAAATAATTTAAATAATCAAAAATACTTACAGTACGAATTACCACACTGTACACAGCACATTTGCAATTTATATTCCAGATAACACATTTCACTTAGCAACTATCAACTTCACTACACATTCACTTAATTTATTTTTGTTACCGCTAGAAAAACGTCGCTTTACTCTTCTTGTCTTGCATATCCATTCCAAATAAATATTTGTTTTTGTTACCTAATGCCTTTGACAATTGATCAATTCAATTCACAAATCAATTTTTGCGGGAGTCGCAACCACCGCGCACCGCAGTAGGAAGATCAGCGTGCCTGTCAAACACGACAAACTAAAATTTAAATGATATTATTTTACTCACTCTATTTATGAATTAATCCAATAGCAGCAATGCATAACACATATCCAACGCCTCCTACAGTGTTTCGAACAACAGTTCTTTCAGAATCGAACGTTTTACGTAAAAACATTATCGCAACACAACCGCACAACACAAACAACCGCCGCCATGTTACTCTCGACTGCTCTGCGCATCGTGGAAAAGCCCTATCCTTGGTCGACACTGGGCGCCGACTGTGCGACGAGCTCATTGGCTGCAGGGATCCGCATGGCGATGACGAGTCCCGGAGCACTATGAGTGAGGCTGGCGGGCTCAGCAAGTAAGGGAGTCGCTAAGGATCATCTTGGGATAGTAACTTTCATTGATTGATTATGGCGTCGTCTGTTACAACGAATCCATCAACTCTTTTACCTTTGGGTAGGTTGCTAACATATGCTTTCTTTCTAAACGAGTGAAGTATTTTCTGTTGAAGCGCCTAAAACGTTTACCAGGGTACTTCCGATCCTAACCTTAAATTTTCCTTGCAATAGGTATTAGCCGGTTAAGTTTTATGTTCGATATATTGAATTAAAATTGTTATATTATGCCTCACAGTTTATTTTGATGATCCAGCAAGTTATGCCGTTTACTTTTCACAGAACTGGTGGATAAATGTATAGGTTCACGCATCCATATAATAATGAAAAATGATAAAGAAATTGTGGGGACTTTACTTGGTTTTGATGATTTCGTAAATATGCTCCTGGAAGACGTAACGGAATACGAATCTACGCCAGAAGGTCGTAGGATAACAAAGTTAGATCAGATTCTCTTAAATGGTAACAATATAACAATGGTGAGTAAACTATTGAAATTTCGTGTTTAAATTAAAACTTGAATAGAATGTACATTTTATCATTTTGTTGCAGCTTGTTCCTGGAGGAGAAATGCCGGATTCGTGACAAGTTTTATTTTGTATTATTTTACCCTGTGATTTATATTCATTTTCATACAATTAATATTACATGAATATTAATTTCAGTACAAAGGTTCTGTACAAGTTTCTTTATTTTGTAATAAATGTGTACATATTATTTCAATAATCTGTACTGTTCTAAGATTCACCCCAGTTCATTATTCATTATTGGAAAGCTTGGAAGTGGAATAATAAATGCATTTGCCCAGTATTAGTATCCAATACATATTGTGAAGCAATTATGTTTTACCTGCAGATAATTTCCGAGTTGAAATGTAATACAAAAATGGAAATTCAAAATAATCAGTTAAGCATTTTAGTGAGAAGTGTTAATCCATTGTTTAGGCATATTTGTGCAAGTATAGGAAGTGATAAATGTGAGGAAATAAGATAATTGACTACATTTGTTGTCTAGTGAGTTCACCTTTTTTCTTCAATTCATTGGGAATGTTTGTCAAGAAAATTTTTCATCAGTATTAGTCAACATTTTTCTTTGGTGCTTGAGGTTTGATATTGCTGTAAATAGATATCTTGAGTATATTAATTTACGACGGTATAAAAAAATGTTTATTCCTCATGCTTTAGATTAAAAGGCTTTCCAAGGAACAAAAAGCATAGTGGTCCTTAACTGCTGAGAGTTGTTAGTGATATTACATTGGCTTTAATGCTTCATAAATGTACAAAATAGTAATATGAAATAAAAACAAAATGCCTGATTTTCGTCCTTCAAATAAAATGTTCACTGCAATATTTGTAATGATCAATTTTGTAATGGAGCCAGAAATAGTTGCTTAGGTTTTAATTTTTAAATTGGAGAAAACAAAAATTCATGTAGCTTTGAAATGAAATTCAGTGTCATGTTCTGCATTACAAGAACTGCTTGGTAGTAGTAATTTACAATGATACCACAGTTTTCTGTATATAACCATGTTCTTAGGTAAAATACTACCTTGAATGAGATGTATTCTTCCTAAATGCAGTGTGTTTCTCATAGATATTTAATGGAAATGTGTTTAGTCCCATTTAGAATTGAATATGCAATTTGTGTAGCAAAGGGAATATTAACAGTACAGTAGAGATATTTGTTTATGGTGTTGACAGTAGGTTCAATCTACTGAAACGAAACAAATTGATTTCCCAAAAATTGGCACAGACACTGTTCAAAAACAGCAAATACAGAACTCTCACATAACACTGCAACAAATAATATATTTTAACCAGAACAATCATCACAAATGCTGCAATACCATAGTATAGTATATTTTCACTGTACAATTGTTCTTTACATACCAATAATATCAAAAAGTTGTAACATGTTCTCTAACACGTGGATATCTAATGGTGAGGAACCTTTTCCTTGGAGCCTTGCTGTCTCATGGAAGCAATGAGACACGGAGTATCAGAAAGCAGTCATACAATTTAAGAATGGGTGGACTACCAGTCAGATTTTTACATTTTCAATCAGAAATAAATCTGTTGTTTTTTAATTTTACCCCCATGTTCCCATGCATGTAACAAAACCAGACATCTCTTATATGACAGGAAGCAGTGTAATTTTTTTAAATTTCTGTACGCATGGGAAATCAGCAATTTTTATGTTTTCTTCTCAACTCTTTTAAATCCCCTTTTGCAAATTCCTTCGATTCTCTTTTCTCTTAGGTGATAAACGAATTGCCCATTGTTAATCTGGTCCTTTGTAACTTACAATTTTTGTGTCAGAATCATTATAAATATTAGAATCTGCATGCAATCATCATTTATTCCCTTAACCACATATTTTACTTTTTGCTCTTCTAAGTAATTCAAACATAGTTTGAAAAACAAATTCAGAAAATAATATGCAAGGATTATATGAAACAGATTATTTCAAGTATTGTAAATAAAAACAAAAGATTTTTTAGAAAGTGAGTTGTTTAATAGAAAACTGGAGTAACAAATACCTAATGATGCTCACAGTAGTTGTTGTGTTTTAGTGGTGAAATGTGTTTCTGAAATCTATGATTGTAAAAATAGTTGTCTTGATAAGGTAAGAATCTCAATTATTGAATTAGTAGAATTATATATTATAGGACCTACAAAAGGTGAGGCACTTTACCTGACACACACAGGTCTACGCAACTTAAAGAGCAAATTTGTACATTTCTTAGCCAGACTCATGCAGAATCAAATGAGTAGAACTCATAAATTCAATCATTTATGACTCAAGTTGTTGAAAATCACTAGTTCAGAATAATACAGTTGTATACTTGTAACTTGCAGATTGTATGCAAAGCAGTACTACTTTACAGATTGTATGAAAAGTTTACTTAGATATACAGTTTAATAAATAATTTCCTCATTGATAGAAAACTTGCGTATGTATATTGTCAAGTTCAGAAGGTTACACTTGCAACTACTTGCATTACTAATTGTAAAACAATATCTCGAAGTAAGTCCCTCATAAAAAACTGACTCACTCTACTATACATTCAAAAGTTATTTGATAATTATATCACATTGATGTATTGAGAGTTTAATTTTAGAAACTGCCTATAATCATGCCTATGTCTATAAACATTTTCAGTTATGGATAAAAATATATCTTCTTGGACAACCAAGAAAAAATGTAATTTGCGAATTTTGAATATGAAAAAGTGGTAACCCTTTCATTTGATTGCTGAAGGTACACAATTCTCATCTTTTTCTTTCTTCTTTGTTAAAAATATGTTTTCTAAATTGCTAATGTCAAATTTTACCATTTCTATATTTCAATTTAATTTGTGTGGTTTATCTATGTGTTAAGCAAATAATTATTACTGTCTATAACTAAATTTTCGTTTTTTGCATGGTATAAAATGTAGTAAAGATAATTGAAGTGAAGAATGTGTAAAGAATCATTTTCAACAGTAAAATGAAGAAAAAAGATCTATTTTACACAGGCATTAATAAACAAAAGATAATATGTGTTATAACAAAATGTTTATAATTTTTTACTAATTTATATACACAAAGCATTGTTATTCAAATAGTTTCTGCAACAGGCACTTGACAAATATCTATTTCTTTAACTACAATTGTGTTTTCCTTGAAAATGTTCCAAAGTCAAATTTCAGGACATCAGAATGAATTTTCAATATTTAATTCTTGTTCTCTTGAATGACCACTAGTAGATACGCGTCTTTACCCTCATAGTATTGTACATATTAACAGTAATATGTGCAAACATATTGAAATTGAAGTAATTTGCTTTGAACAAAAAATAAAGTTGTAAAGCATTGGTATTTCATTATATGAATTAAATGGTCTGAACTATTTTTAGATCATGGCATCAATAATAATAAATGAAGAACATTTTGATCACAGTGTAATGAAACGTCTTGATGTAGGGCAAACTTATGCATTAATTAAGGTCATAGATAATAAGGATTTAGTATGTACTGCACTATCATTATTCAGAAACTGACAAATGTTTCATAATGGAGTGACTGGAAATACTGAACAGATTATTCTCTTTTAAATAATCAATGATGGTGAAAACATCGCCTATGAATTAATATGTGCAAATGTAAATATTTAGTGGAAAGCGCTACCAAATTTGTGTGCGCGCGCGCGTTAGAGGAAGCAACTTACTACAAATAGGAATACGATTTATCCTCTTTTCCGTATAATGGCACTATAATATGAATTTTATTGACGAAAAATCGTCACTTTCCGCTGCACCATTTCAATACTTACGCTTTATTATTATCTAAGCACACAATATGCAATGAAGTAAAATAACTGTATTCGCAAGTCAGTTTCCGCCCATAAATATATCAAGTATTACGATTTACGGCAGTGATATACTACAAGCGTGATACCATTGTCTGAATCCAAAATACGCAGCTAAAACTTGATGTATTGTATTGTTTGAAACTTAAATGAATCTGAGGATAACATTGTGATATACTACCTCTGCAGAGTCTCCCTTCCATCCCACACTCAGGTTGGACTGTCTCAGACGGCCAGGGGGCGGTCAGTCTAGTGGCACCATGTAGGGGTGACACTAATTAGAAAATGTTATAGTTAGAATTATATAATTTTTAAAATTATATTTTAGTTATTCTGAATTACATAGTTTCTAAGTATATTATAAATAAATATTCCATGTTATAAATAAATTGCATCCCGACCAATGTTTGGGGAGTGGAAAGGAGGAAATAATGAGAATGAAGATTAGTATTTCCTCTAAGGTAATAGTTAAGTTTCGATACATGAGTAACGGTAATAGGTGTTTTCGCACCACCGATCTCGGAGATGGGGGAAAAAACTCGATCGCAGGTGGACATGACAGAATTTTCAGAAGTATATTTTAGCTATCTGAAATATCATTTTTTGATTATATAATATAATTTGATTTGTCAAGTTTTTATGCAAGACGATGTTCCCCTTGGAGCAGGCCACATTACATATACGTACGTAGAAATATGTTTCAATAAATGAAGAATATTCAGTATGTTTAATTCCCTGAAACAAGCTTTCCTTGGGTAAAGAGAGTACCCCTGTCACAACTATAAGAGGAAGTTCATTTTTTCTTGTGGTGCTAAAAGCAGGACGTACTTTCTCGCAATATTTGCAACAGACGTAATACTACTGGAGCAAGCAAAAGTGTTCCGCAAATTTTTTGCCCAAGATGGGATTGGAACAGACGGACAGACGTTTTGCCGTCAATCGATTTTTCGATTTCAAGGACCCACAAATCATGGATTCTGGCTACACCAAGTGTCAAAGGACTTTTTCTAAATTTAGCAACTGGATTTATTTACTTGCTAATGTAATAAACGTTTTTCAGCCGAAAATTCGCCGTTTTTTCGCGCAGCATTACATAACTCTTTATTGCGGTAGCGAGAAAATAAAAATGATTCAATTGTTAATATATATATATATATATATATA